CTGGACCCAGCCGCCCTAAGTCAAAGAAGATACGAAGTGCCCTAAGGTACAATGTGAAGTACAAGATAATTCAAGACTTGGAGAAAGGCACAAGACAAGTTGATTTGGCGCGCCAGCATGGCGTGAACGAATCTACGATGCGGACGATAAAGAAGGATGCAGCCAAGATAAAATAACACATGAACATCACAAGGTCTGCAGGTGCTTCAATGGTGAAGTACTGCCAGAACAAGGTGCTGCTCAAGACGGAGAATTTACTTGTGAGCTACTTGATTCGTCAGGCAAGACGGAACATGGCGGTTGACACGCGGTCAGTTCAAGAGTATGCACGTGAACTGTACACAGCAGTGGCACGTAAGATGGGAATTGCAGAGCCCAAACCCTTCAATGCTTCCTCTGGGTGGCTGCAAAGGTTTAAGAAGAGGAACAAGATCACCAACATTAACATTGCTGGTGAAGGAGCGAGTGCTGACCGTGTTGCGGCTAGTGATTTTCCTCCGTTCTTACATGACGTTATGGAGGAAGGACAGTACACCGACGACCAGGTGTTCAACATGGATGAATCCGGTCTGTTTTGGAAAAAGCTACTTTCCAAGACTTTTGTTGTCCAGTCTGCCAGCAAGTATCGAGGCCGGAAGTTGCAGAAGGAGCGCATCACCGTCCTCTTTACCACCAATGCCTCCGGTACCTGTAAACTCAAGTTATCATTGATCCACACAGTCCGCAAGCCACACGCCTACAAGAACATGGACATGACCAAGCTAAATGTCTACTGGCTAACCGCACGTAAGGCGTGGATATTCTCTGCTCTGTCCCTCTCCTGGTTTGACGACTGTTTCGTTCCTGACGTGGAGAAATTCTGCGAGCAACAGAATGTTCCATTCAACATTTTGTTGCTCCTTGACAACGCACCAGGACACTCGCCCCTACCGTTGGATCGTCACCCGAACGTAAAAGTGGTCTTCCTTCCTCCCAACACTACGTCATTAATTCAGCCCATGGACCAAGAATTAATGTGCAATGTGAAACCTGCATACTCTGCAAAGAAGTTTAAGCTCCTTAATGACTTGACCAACACCAAGGATGAGTTGCGTAACCTGGGTTACACCGATAGCAAGAGCGACGAGGACGAGGAACAACAGTTGGCGGATCAAGAAGTTCTCGTCAGACACTTTTGGAAGAAATTTAACGTCAAGAAAGCTGTGGACTTCTTGGTGGAGGCATGGGATCAGCTATCTGTAGCAACGGTTCGTCACGCATGGAGGCATGTGTTACAAGGTATCCCAGGTGGGAGGCAGAGTCAACCTGTGAATGGTGAGGTTCAGTCTATTGCAGTGGCAGTGGACCTTGCCAGAGAAGCTGTGCACAGTGTTACAGCTGCAGGCTTCTCCGAGACCAACAACGATGACATTATGGAGGTGATAAGGGATCCTGATGTGACTGCCGACGAGATGTTAGAAGACGATCATGTCAGTGAAGAGACAGGCGGTGCGTCATCCCGAGAAGAACACAAGTTAACGCATGGTAATGTTAAAGATGCCATCGAGTGTGCAGAGAAACTGAAGCTCATCCTTTCCAACGACCCTGACGATAACCGCTATGAAGTCTTAACTACCCAGCTGTTGCAGACTATGGAGCCGTACATCCAGGTGTATCACGACAACATCAACACTAGCCGTCAACGTAACATCACAGACTTCTTTGCCTGCAACCCACCACAGCCAACCCAAGCCAGTGACAGTGATGGTGACTTTGAGGGGTTTGTCAGAGAGACCCTGATAAATGTGAAGGACAGTGATGGTGACTCACCTGAGGGCCAGTAGTCTGCCCTCTGCCTCGGAAGCAGCCGCCATTCCCGTACGCCAACCCATCTCTCCTACTAACTTAAGTGTTAAACCTAACCTTGATTTTTTCTACCCTAACGTAAGTGTTAAACCTTGATTTTTTCTAACCTAACCTGATGTAAGTGTTCAACCTTGATTTTTCTTTTACCTGGTACAGTATATTATTCTCTTATTGATATTTCTCTTCTATATTATGTGTGTGCATACCATCATAAAATTAAGATACTACTATTTTTACTACAAGGTACGTATTGTGTCGGAAAAAGTGGAGTTTGGAGGTTGGCCCAGTCTCTATTTAAATTAATCCCATATGTTCTGTTATTCCATTTACGCGTTTCTCGTTTTACGCGCTACTCCACGGGTTCAATTGACCGCGTAAATCGGGGTATTACTGTATAATATAATAAATGTTGGAAAGTGTGTTGGTGTGTGTATCGCTGTATCGGTATTAATAGCTAGGGCCCTTTTCTCTAAATTTATAAAATACATTAAGGAAAAATGAAAGGAAATTAGAAGTAAAAGATTTATAAATTGCAAAAAGTTGGATGGTCCATCATTATTTTTATTTGCATTCTTTTCTTAAATACTGTATACGTACGTATATCAAAAAAATTCCCTGAAAATCTCTCGATTTTATACCGTCCTAAGCATTATTGAGTCATCCATCATGCCACAAGTTGACTTGTTTTTCATGAACTATACACATAGGTGTAGTGATCTCTTGGTGATGGGGGATGCACTCAGATCTCCTACCATATGGACAGGGACAGGACTGAAATCAGTCAGCTTTCAGTTGCCATTCAGGTATTTTTCAAAAGCAATTATCCAATAGTATTTGGGATGAAATGAGTGGGCATTATAGCTTATTGTATTGATCTATGTGTACACTAAATTCTTGACTAATGATGGTTGTAGATGTACAGTGGTAAAATTAATGTAAAAAAATACTGTATGTATCTTTTAATTAATGTTATGTAATGTACGTACAATAGAAGTAACCATGCAGTCACACACACGTATCTATACGGGGAAGGGGGTGGCGCGGTCAACCTCCCAACAGAGGATAGATTAAGGCTTATAAAATGTCACTGACTTGACTTATGAGAATATAATTTGCACTGCTGGAATTCTTTTAAGATAGCAATTAATTTGAGTATAAACATCACTTACTATATTTTGCTCCACAGACATACACAAGAATTAGCCATTTTGTGGAGGGGGGGGAGGTGTCACGGTCAGGGCCGGATTCAGGAGTGGGCAAAGTGGGCAGCTGCCCAGGGGCCTCCACAATCTGGGGGCCTCCACATATTACAATATTTTATTTATTTGTTTATTCATTTGGATTATTTTTATTTTCATTCTAAAAAATTCATGTTTACCTATTCCATCACATAAAACTATGTTCAGCAAGAAGCGTGATAGAAATTAGGCTAGCTACTCCTTGAAATTCATGAATACCTGGTTTTCCTATGAACCGTATATTTTTAATGAATGCTATTGTTTGTGTTGCTAATATATTTAGAATTCCACAAACATATATTGATTAACAATGAACTGCATGGAATAACGAAATTGAGATTAAAAAAACAAATAAAATATTTTTTTCATTATCACTTCCATTACGAATGCCATCAGGGAGCTGTGTTTGTTGACAGTCGACTTGAAACCACATGAATGACTCCAGTCATGTCTCACTTTTGTGTGTGTGTTGGGAATTTGTACACTATCAATAAATATACAGTTAATTAAAAATTTCTCAATGTTCTAATTTCCTCAATATAACTGCATATGGCTTCAAAATTCTCCAAAGAAGTGTTCAAATTTCAAAATTTTCCCGGGAGGCTTAAAGCGCCCCCTGGAACTCCCAGATGTTTAGGCTCGCTTCACTCACCACCCCACCCTCTTGGGTAGTTATAATGAAGGGGGCCTCCACAAAGAGGCTGCCCATGGGCCTCCACAGGTCTAAATCCGGCACTGGTCACGGTTACTTTACCCCCCAATAGACCTTTCTCCCTTCGGCTGGGAGAAGAGGGGGGGGGGGTGTAGGTTGTTGACAGTAGGAGGAGGGAAGATTAGTGCAAACTCTAGGATTTTGAAAGCAGAGGGGTTTTATATTTAGCTTATAAAACGTCACTGACTCGACTTAGGAGAATATAACTTGCATTGCTGGAATTCTTGTGAGATAGCAATTAATTTGAGTATAAACATCCCTTATTTTGCACCATACATAATAATTTTTGTAATTAACTTAGTACATTTAAGTACAGGTTGTGATAATTTATGTGGTTGCAGTTTCAAAGCTTCATGACCTCACTAGTGTATAATGCATCTCCATATGCCCTGGTTTATTCATTGATCAGTTGTCTAAGTGCAAAAGTAGCCCAGTCGAGCCGTACTGTATCATTTGATTTTAAAATAGAAATTATAAAGTAAAATGTTATAAGACAATGGTTTAGTATTGCTGTTAATGTGTGTGCTATGGAAGTGTCTTGGCATGTCAGCTCACCACCTGACTCCTGAACAAACTCTTCATCAACTTCTTCAAATCCTACAATGTGCTTGGCAAGCTCAAAACACACACGGGAATTAAGACAACAAGCATCCAGTGAGGGTCTTCTTGTGTGACTGCATGGAGGCGAATTAAAAGATCAGCTGTTGAGGAGCTTGTCGCACGGCAACACTGATGCATGTTGCCACTCCTTTCCACTCTATCTTTATAATCACCCACACCTTTCTGCTTTCTCACTCCATATTTTGAAATGCCACCCTACCTCCACCTGACATTGAGTCAGGTCAGGTCAGGTCAGGTCAGGTAACCGCCCCCCCCCCCTAAATAAAATACTTTAACTATCATTTTTATTCAAGACATTTTCAGAAAATTCTCTCGATTTTCAATTTCGGAATTTTTTTTCCCAAACCCTGAATTTATGGGAAAATTCCGACTTTGGAAATGATTTTCCGAGCAATTTTTAATTCTGGCTAACGGAGATTTCTGGGTTTGAGGGATTCCGGCTGACGGAGATATTAATATACTATACTTAACTTGCACACCCAAAGAGAATGACCCAATTTAAAGCTGGTTCTAATGAAAGACATAAAGAAGAAATCTTAAGCTACCACATAGCCAAGTAAAGTACTGTACAGTTATAAACTTACCACTGACGAAATTCCTCTGCAGTCCATTCAAATTTGTGATCCCAATGTCTGAATGAACCTGGCATATGGCCAGGAAAATATTTATTGAAGTCAGCATTGGGAGTGGTTATGATTATCAGTTTTGGTCTTACATCTTGGAACACACACTTGACTAATGCATGCAGCTCTGATATTTGCACATGCTCAATACTGTATGGAGAAAAGACAAAAGACATAGCATACATTAACTATTCTGCCATCATACCTTTGATAACTACAAGTTACTTTAATTTAACTACGTTAACTATTACTTGGTAACTATTTTATGTTTCTTTATGCCGGTACTCTATTTTCTGCCTTATAAGATGCACTATTTTCTAGAAAAATAAATAAAATAAAATAAATAAATAAATAAATAAAAAACTCGCCCTGCACCTTATATGTTGAAAGTAAGCCCCAGTGGAATGAGAACGCCAAATAAAACCAAGATGTTAATATTTAAGGATAATAGCCCAGGTTATACAGCCATCTAACAAAAAAAATCTATGGAAGATAACCTATTTCTTAGCTAAAGAATACAGCAGTTGGGTGGAAGAATAGCACTTTCTTATTCTTTTTTTTCTTCTAAATATAATGTAAAGAAAGACTCTTCTGTTGCTGCCATCTTTGTTTATGTTAGTCTCAGAAGGTGTCATAGTAGTCCAAACATTTTAAAGACAATAATAATAATAACAGGATTATTCCATTTTATACTTACTAATAAGAAACAGCAGCAGCAAATATAAAGTCTAAATATGATGATAAATTCTTTATTTATTTTGTTAAGAATAGCCAGTAATAATTATACAGTCGAGTCTGGATTTACGCGGTTTTGGTTTACACATTTGGTCATTTACGTGGAGCCTTGCCAGAATTGAAATGCTTGATTTACGCAGTAAATTTGGTCATTTACGCGGGAAGCGGCGCGGGCAGGGTGCGCACAAGGTCGCCCAGTCATCAAAACATTACCGAGTTCTTCACCCGCCACCCACCACAGCCGGCCCAAGTCAGTGATAGTGAGGATATGGACTTTGAGAGGTTTGGCAAAGAGGCCCTGCAAGCCTATGTGGTGGACAGTGATACAATTGAGGGTCAATAATCTGCCCTCTGCCTCGGAACCAACCTCCCATCCCCGTGTGCCCAGCCATCTTTTCTATTAACGTAAGTGTTAAAAAACCTATTATTGATATTTCTCTTAATTATTAATTTTGTGTACATACCATCATAAAATTAAGATGTTATTTTGACTACAAGGTACATATTGTGTCGGAAAAAGTGGAGTTTGGGGGTCGGCCCAGTCTCTATTTCAATTAATCCCATATGTTCTGTTATTTCATTTACTCGTTTCTCGTTTTACGCTGCACTCCGCGGGTTCAATTGACCGCGTAAATGAAGACCCAACTGTACAGTAATATTATTATACCATATACCATACTACTGTATTAGCTTGTTAATACTGTACTGTACACATGAACCAACAAAGCATACCTAACACAGGATGGAAGTTAATTGTTACCTTAGGTTCTCATGTTCATGTCAACAAATTACACAGATTGTACAATGGAAAGGTCATTTGGTCGGTGTGCATTACTTTTGTCATTTGTAGAAAGCATGGCGTCCAGTAAAAGAATGCCATGTACACGCTTTTAGTCTCCTGTGCTGCTTTGCAGATCTACCTGTATGTATCAAGTAATTACAAAAGTTGCGAAGAGTTCAACTTGTTCCTTAAGGTGAAAGAACATTCAGTGAAAGATAATTAATGTAGTGAGCACATGTTGAGTATAGCTGGGTCCCTCGGGAAAGTTTTGTCAATCCCACTAAATTGAAACCTCGCCACCACTACATTATTTTATCACAAAACATTTTTACTCTTCAAAATGAAATGTACAACTCACAGTTCAATCATGGTGACAACCTGAGTCCCGGATAGAACAGGATCATATTTTCTCGCATCTCCACAGACAACCTTTACATTAAGGGGGAGGTCACGCAATATTAAGAAATCAGCTGCCAAAGGATTGATGCGGAACTCATTATCCTGATGAAGAAAAGAAAGAAAAAGATAATGAAACTGAAAATTCCATATTGAACAAAAATCTTCATCATCAATTCATGGTCCTTTCCTCTACTTGTAGAACAGTGTTGTCATTGTATTGACATACCGTATTTTATGGCATATTAGATGCATGGCCATATGAAATGACCTCCCATTTTAGCAGGGAGTATTTAGGAAAAATCTTTTGAGTGTATTTTCCTCCTGTATTTATGGTTTTCTTAAAAATATATACAGTACCAGTAAATGTGAGGAAGAAATAAAAAAAAACACCAATAAATAAGTCACAAAAAAAATACTCTATTGCCAAACCAGTAAATAAAAGCCAAATGAAAGTTTAATACAGTCACCATTTGCATATACAGTCGGACCTTAACATACGCGGGTTTAACATACACGGATTTGCAAATACAGTGGGGTATGCTATAACGAATCTAATTGGTTCTAGAACCTTGTTTGTTATAGCATTCGTTCGTTATAGGATTAATCCGTTCCAAGCCCCCAAATACAACCACTTAATACTGAAAAATATAATATAAAATTGAAAAAAATTGAAAAAAAGTGCATAAATATGCATCTAAACCCCTGAAATAAAGAGTATAATTAATACTTGTAATAAAAAAACAATAAATAAGTAAAAAAACAAAAGAAAAAAAAATTTTGTTGTAGGAGTTTCGTTCGTTATAGCATTCTCAATTTTATGGGTAAAACCGTTCGTTATAGGAATATTCGTAATAGAATCCATTCGTTATAGCATACCCCACTGATTCCTCCCGCGGATTGCCGCCGGAGGAATATACATTCAAATCGCGCGCGACACCACACACTGCACACCGCCCGCCACACCACACACACACACACACACATCGCCCGCCACGCCACCCTGCGTTCCCGCGCTCCCTCAGTCAGTCAGTCTCGCTGTAACCACGCTTGTGTTGACATCAGCATTGTAGTTGCTACCCACATTTACCAAGGCTCCCAAGAGAGCATCAAAGAAACCAGCTGGAGCCACCCCTAAGCGCCAGAAGAAAGTGATGACTCTGCAGGAGGAGGTGGAGCTGCTGAATAAGTTACGGTGACGCTGTGGAGGCGGAAGGATAGAGCAGGGACGACTGGTGACGCTCTGGAGGCGTGGAGATGCCAGCCAGTACATTATTAATTGCTTTTATAGCTCTTTTTGCATTTTAATATTAAATAAAGTGTTTGTAAACATGTACAAAGTGTTTTTCTTTACTTACCGTATATACTCGTCTATAACCCTCCCTCATTTATAGGTCGACCCTGATTTTTTGACCAAAAAATCGTTAATTTATGATATTCCTTGTTTATAGGTCGACCCAAGTTTTTGAGGGTATTGGAACAACAAAACCTTCAGTAAAAACACTCTACGTCCTATAAACTGAGGCTCGCCGTGCCTGAAACACCGAGTGCCGAAGACAAATTGTTTACCATTTATTATTACGACACTTTACACTGAAACGCGGGTAGTTTCAACAAAAATATTGTATATTTCCATTCAAATATTTATTCAAGTCAATTAGGAGGGAATATCATTGTAATACAACAGTTTTTTAACTGAAAACCATTCAAAAAGCGATTACGGTAAAATCTTTTGAACAGCGAAAGAAAGCGAAAGTCATTGTTTTTGTTATAATTATATCCCACTTTCCACTGTAATACATACATCATTTCAGCAAAAATATTACATTTCCATATTTATTTCTGAGAATGTATATTCATTCAGTCACAGTTAAGGTAAAATATACTTGTGATGTAATATTTTAATGAAAATACCCGGTATTTAGAAATACGGTATCGTAGTTTTCTTTTGTTTCAAATTTAATTAACAAAGATTGATGTTTCAAATGTAATGAAAAAAAATTTATGTATCTATAAATAAACTTTAAAAAATTAATACTTTATGTTTTACATCGTCCTGTGCTACCATACCATGCATTTGGCTACTTTGGGCTTGCTATGATGACGCAAGAGATCTGCCCTGGCAACTGTACCGACACTCACAGCTGGTGGTGCGTTGTTTCCATTGTTTACTGGTAGTTACTAGTAAATATTTTTCAACCTAACGAAACTATTACCCGTTTAGAGGTCGACCCCCAATTTTTTGCCAAAAAATTTGGTCTTAAAACCTCAAACTACACACAGGTATATACGGTAAATAAGGACATGGGGGAACAGGGGTGTTTTTAGGGGGGGGGGGGGCAGCAAAAATACGCGGATTCTTAACATTCGCGGGTATCTCTGTTACCTAACTGCCGCGTATGTTAAGGGCCGACTGTACTGTACAGTGATCCTTCGGTTAACGACTTACCTTCCATAAGAATCTTCAACTCGATTAATGAACAAAAATTCGGTTAACGAAATCCTTACGAAATCGTGTCAACATGTTTTCGCCTTATTTCGCCTGCTCACCAGCTGGAGTATTAGTCCGCCAATACAGTAATCGGTTTTAGGGCTTAAATTCGTTACCATTTGAGTAAATATCAAAACGGTTGTACTATTCAAAAATTTTCCAAGTGTTATATTACAATTTTTAGTCATTTTAACAATTATTTAACATAATTGAAGTACAGGGAACTAGTTTTTAGCGCGCCAAACAGCCACTTGACTCAGCCAGAATGGCGTCAGTTTGTGTCTCTGCTCAGTGGAGGAAGCATCTTGCTTGAGACTCTCTTGAACATAAACTATTTTTAAGTTTTTACAGTACAATTATTGGTCATTCTGAAATTTATTTTCCATATTGACAATATATAGTGCAATGCAGTGTTGATTTAAGGACAATAATCTTGAATTACACCGAGTGAACTTAAAATTTTATGGGTGAAATGGCGGCATGAAGCATGGGGTGATTTCTCTTCCACCCCACTGCCTTCTTTTCTCCCTTCTCCTACACCCCCACTTCGAATTCCCATTATCATCATCATCAACCAGGAGCCTTCTACATGCACACCTCAAAGTAAGTGTAGTTTACTGCATTTATTTTTAGTTTGTATGTAATTTACAGTGAGCTGGAACCAATTACCCAAAATCCTATTGAAACAATGGTTTTAGTTAACAAAATTTTCAGTTAACGAACGACCTTCTGGAACGAATTGTGTTCGTTAACTGAGGGACCACTGCACTGTAAATCTGTAGTGATATCCCCATTAGCCGGAACAATTGGTCCAGAGCATTTCCGGGCATGAGAGATTTCTGGGTAACCAGACGACTTTCTCAAACCCGGAAAAATCCACCATCCCCGGAAATACAGTAAAACCTCGATTAACCGACTTTCGGATCAACCGTCAATCCCGAACTCCTAATTTATTTTATTTATTTTTTTTTTCACGGGGGTTAGCCCACCCGGGCACAGGTCACAGACCCACATCGGTGACTGGGGGGCAATAATGTAAAAATATTAATAATGATAATGATAATAATAATAATAATAGTAATAAAGAACCATAAAGAAATGCAAAAATTAAAAAAAATCAAGAGTGAGAAACAATGTACCTGTACGTATGTTATGTTGTCAATAGTAAGAGAAACAATTGAGACCCTGCAATTGTGTGTAAATGAGGCAGAAAGTCAGATCAGCAGCCTGGGACTTGGTCACAATTTTCGTGATGCCATATGTTCTTTGACTTATCCAATTTTTATTCACGGTTTCTGTGCTGGTTCATATTTATTTACTTAAGTGGTTAATGCTTTAAAGCAAATTTTATTGAAATATGAATGGCAAATGAACAAAAATGAATAGAGGGACTTAAATGAGGTAGGTTAGGGATAGGTTAAGTGCTCAGTCACACTGTATCCATTCCTTATTATTTATTACTTTCACTGCACTGTATCCATTCATCATTATTCATTACTTTTACTGTACTGTATTTCATTGTAGATTTTTTATTAATTTTTTTTTTTTTTTTTTTTTTAAATCTAGTGGGGTATGCTATAACGAACGTAATTGGTTCCAGAACCTCGTTCGTTATAGCATTCGTTCGTTATAGGATTAATCCGTTCCAGGCCCCCAAATACAACCACTTAACACTGAAAAAATTCTGTGGAAAATGTAAAAAATACCGTACTTTATCTTACCTTAGTGTTATTCAGCATGCAGGTACCCTTAAACACTGGCACATCACTATCACTTCCACTGGGAGTCTTGGCTTTAAGGTCCTCAAACAATTGTTTAGCCTTCTCACAAATTATAGCTTCACTAATGCTACCACCTACCATTTCTTTCTCCTTTATCCACACTAAGAGTAAATTTTCCATCTCTTCAATCACATTACACTTTGCTTTGCTAAGTCTAAAGATTCCCTTAGCCACTTGCACAGTTTTTAACTCCTCTTTATTCTTCAAAATCGTACATATAGTCAATTTAGCCATCCCATATTCATCACTAAGTTTCGCAATGCTTCTTCCATTCTCACGTTTCTTTACAATTTCTTTCTTAGTTTCAAGAGCTATTAGCTTTCTCACTCGCTTTGGACGACTCATTGTTACAATTGTATACTTGTATAACAAAATAATTATACAAATAACGCGAATTTCCACATCAAAAGACGAAATTTCAACAATAACAGTGGTGCACTGGCTACACAATGAGACAAAGATGGCGCCTGACGCTCTTGTTGTGGGTCGCGGTACAACAATATTCAAGCGCCAGGCAAAATAGTCCCGTATTCATCCGCGTTCGTTGTAGGAGTTGCGTTCGTTATAGCATTCTCAATTTTATAGGTAAAACCATTCGTTATAGGAATATTCGTAGTAGGATCCGTTCGTTATAGCATACCCTGTATGTGGGACTTCTGACCTGGATTTGGGTCCCTAACCCGTCGTAGAAATCGAGAGATCTGGAATATTCAACCAATGATATTGTGTGTGTGTGTGTGTGTGTGTGTGTGTGTGTGTGTATATATATATATATATATATATATATATATATATATATATATATATATATATATATATATATATATATATATATATATATATATATATATATATATATATATATATATATATATATATTATATATATATATATATATATATATATTATATATATATATATATATATATATATATATTATATATATATATATATATATATATATATATATATATATATATATATATATATATATATATATATATATATATATATATATATATATATATATATATATATATATATATATATATATATATATTTCATGTAAATCCACAATGAAAACGTAGATAAGATAAATCTTGATAAAATCACACAGGAAAATGGAAACAACGGAGTACCTTAGCTTTCGTCTTTATTCAAGACATCTTCAGACTGACTTCACGGCGAGAGTTAGGGACCCAAATCCAGGTCGTAAGTCCGAATGGTCGTAAGTCCGACATAGATAAAAAAAAAAAAATTACATAAAAAAATCTACAATGAAATACAGTACAGTAAAAGTAATAAATAATGAGGAATGGATACAGTGTGACCTGAGCACTTACCTTTAATGTAGTCAGCTGAATGCACATGGGGGCCCCCATAATTTTCTAATTATACATGGAGACTACATTAACTGGAAACGTTTCGGTATAGAAAATGTGTGTCATTTGGAAGAAAAAAAAAAAAAAAAAAAAATGGTCACAACTGCGGCGGTCGTAAGTCCCGACAGTCGTAAGTCGAAGCAGTCGTAAGTCGGGGTCTCGCTGTAATTCCAATACTGTATCATGTATAACTTTTATTCCCCAGAGTAGTGTTTTAAGTTCAGTTTAAGAGGTGCGCATATGTTGGTGTACCATTATTTGATTGTGTCTGTAGTGTTGGAGGGAATATAAGTATCTAAATTTTACAGTATGTCTCATTCATCCCAGTCACAGACGCTATCCTTCCACGGGTCACGGACAATTCATTTTGTTTAGTAAATTTAAGTGTTCTTGTGCTGGTTCGGGATTTTTCTCAAAGGGGCGCTTCCACTGCAATTACCATCTAATAATCTTTAATAAACCCCAAGTCAAGTGAGAAATTAAAGTATTTGGGATGAAATGAGTGGGCATTATAGCTTATTGTATTGGTCTATGTGTACATTAAATCCTTGACTAATGATGGTTGTAGATGTACAGTGGTAAAATTAATGTAAAAAAATACTGTATGTATCTTTTAATTAATGATATGTAATGTACGTACAATAGAAGTGATCAATGAATTGGTAGAGAAAAAAGTGAGACCGAGCGGGAGTCCAACGTATGTACGTATGCACTCGTGGAAACAGTCTCATATATCTTATGAACTCACACACACACACACACACACACAGGAATTAGCCATTTGTGAGTGTGGGGGGGGTTATGGTCACTTTTATCTCCAATAGACCCCAGGGGTTTTATTGTTTTGCTTATAAAATGTAACTGAATTGTCTTAGGAAAATATAACTTACATTGCTTAAATTCTTGATATATCTCTGTTGTACACACTGTCAAGCAGGAAAATAAAGCACATATATAAAGCAAGCATAATTAGCATTAAATAAGGAATATAAGCATAAATTGAGACTGTTATTTACCGGTGTTAAGGCATTGAGTCGGCATTCCTCCCCGAGGCTGGAGGAACATGTTGATTGGGGTAGGCTTACTGGGTGAAAGGTGCAGGGTCAACAGGGTCCTCAAACCCAGTGAATGCAGAGGGAACACACACTCACCAGCAGCTGCCTCGTACTTTTCCTTGTCTTTTAGGATGGTAGTGACAACAAGGGTGGGAAGTCCAAGTCTCTCCCAATCTTTGCTGGTCCATCACCAATTTTATTATGCTTTATCACATCAAGCTTGACAGTAAGATTCACAGACTTATGCAACCTCTAAGGGGCAGCACAAGAGGAACTATTACTGGGGCGTTTTGGCATGATTGTGTAACACACGAAGTCGGAAAAAAGGGTAAACAAAGAACACGAAGTCGGAGATAATGGGTAAGTGTAAACACATGCAACGAGGCAAGACCGAGTCAGAGGCAGAGCTCTCACATAGTAAGAATTAGCACTACGCCAATGCCCGCCAAATTAAAAACAGCTTTGCTGCTCCGCTCCCAATCGTCGGATCAATGGGGCAGTCAATGTAACTTGCGGGGCATTTCCCCAATATGTAATCATTGGTTATTCGAAGCAGCAGTTAATGGGAGCCTAGTTTACGAGGTATACCTGTACTGTAAAAATTTACGCCATCCACTAATGTTGAGGGTTCAAGCCTCAGCTGGAACTTATAGACTTAATGGCATATGATAAATGGGCATGCCTGACTTGTCATCAGGTTATAAAATATGTACCAATATTAACATCTGTAATTCAGTTAAATATTTACCTTCAATATTTGATGATCTTTATCAAGTAATACAACTTCCTGTACTCCAGGTACACTTTGCAAGTACCTAAAGAATTTAAATTCCGCACATCCCAAGTCCACTACCTGAAATAAAAAAATCTTATTAATTATTAATAATGTTATTTTCTAAGAAAATTAATAAATAAAATAAAATAATTTGGCATTACTGTAACAATTTAGAGTTATACTGTACTGTAATTGTGAAACAGTGGTCTCATCTACTGTATACAGTATAAGGAATACGAGTACTGTATACCATATAAGAGATGTTGAAGAGAAATTACAATTTAAAGATTCAGCATCGTCATCAATGTTTTATGACCATTTTTCATGCTTGCATGGCTTAGCCTCAATTACCTGATGGTAGCTCTTCAAGCTGTGTGGTCTCTTGTAGTCTCTTTCATCAGGTTCTTAACTCTAAGGTCATTTTTTACAGTCTCTCCCCTTGTCATTCTTGGTTTATCTCACATTCTCCTCCCCTCCACATTTAGATTCATGAATCTCTTAACCCAAATGGTTTCCTCCATTCTCTCCACATGCACAAACCATCTCAGCCTGCAAGACTTCGTCATTTCTGTACTCTTAATACCCAGCTCTCCCTCTTAGCTCTAACAAGGTTTCCTATCTCATATTACACATCCACCTCACCATTCTTATTTCAGCTCGCTCAAGTCATCCTCTTTAACCACCAAATATTTTGCTGCCATACAACATCACTCAGCCTGTTGTATACATATTTTCTTTCATGTGAAGGGGAAGTTCTCTTACCATCAATAAATTGAGAAAGTTACATTTTGTACCTATTGACTTAGAGAAGGCATTAGACAGGGAACCACATGAGATAGTACAGTGGGCAATAAGAAATACAGTATTGGGGTAGAGAAGCATCTTGTTTGAGTGGTTATGGCATTATATGAGGGCTCAAAAACTGCTGAGAGTAAATGGTGACAGTGAGGAATGTGCAATAAAAGCAAGAGTTCATCTTCTGTATATCATGGTGCTAGAGGAACTATCACTGGATTTTAGGATTGGTCTACCCTGGTAGTAGATGACCTAGTTTTGATTGCAGATAGCACTGCATTGAAGGAGCTGAAGAAAAATTTAAGAAATGGATAGATGGATGGAATAGAGTCAAAGGGCTTGAGAGTAGATTTGGCAAAAACAAAAGTAATGGTCAGTGGCCTGGGTGGGACCTGTGATGAAAAGTGGGAAATGGCCATGTGCTGTCTGTAAGAAAGGTGTTGGTAGCAACTCAATAATGTGCAGTGATGTGGAAGGTAAGCATGCAAGAGGTGCAGTGAAGTACATGTCAGACTGCAAGATGTTGCTGACTTTAAGTGTCTTGTGTACACAGCCCTAGCGAGGCTGGAGAAACTTAACATTGGGTATATGTAGTAGTAGTAGTAAGTGTGCAAGAAGGGGGGCTTCATTTGCGTGAGGCATGACGAGGTAAGGGACCTCACAGCAAATATGTTGAAGGAAATCTGCCGGGATGTCATGGTAGAACCGACCCTCCTTCCATTGGATGGTGAGATCTTCCAACACATCTAACGAAGCCCGTGTGGACATCAGTGCTCGAGGATTCTGGACGCGGGGACAGCGAGCTTTCTTCGACAGCAGGATTTTTTATCCCATGGCCGCATGTCACCGTAACCTAGCTCTCGATGCTGCACATAGGAGGAACGAGAATGACAAGAGAAGGGCATATAGGGAGAGAATTCAAAACGTTGATCAAGGCAGCTTCACTCCTCTAGTGTTCACAACCTCTGGTGGTATGAGACCAAGTGCAAGATGTTTCTATGCCAGACTAGCAGAGGTGATCTCTGAACAGAAACACCAGCCCAGAAGTTATGTTACAGCCTGGATGAGATGTCAACTGTCTTTCTCTCTCCTTCGGTCGGCTTTGCTCTGCCTCAGGGGAACGAGGGCTTTTGCCCCAACTCCGACAACTGCTGCAGATATTGACTATGAGGCTACTGTCACTGAAAGCCACATAGATCTGCGGCTCAACTAATTTAACACAGATAGGACAGCTACTTATGTATTAGGATATTTAATATTAAGGTAATTAAATGGTGGCGAAGGTGTGGCTATTGGGGGAGGCTGGAGGCCACATTAAAAAAAAAAAAAAAAAATAATAATAATAATAATAATAATAATAATAACAATAATAATAATAATTGATAGTAAATAAAATTTATAATTAAAAATAAAATAAATAAAAAAATAAATAAAATAAAATAATGATAATAATAATAACACTAACAACAACAACAACAACAACAATAATAATAATAATAATAATAATAATAATAATAATAATAATAAATAAATACAAAAATTAAAAGATCAAAAGTGAGAAACATTATATGTATGTTGTGTTGTCAAAGTAAGAGAAACAATTGAGACCCTGCAGGAGAGCTCAGGTTCTCAACTGGCTCTGCCATGTTAATATTGTTATTATTATCCACTCTGTATATGTGTTTTTCTGGCTAAATAAACTGTTTCACTTCAATTCAATTGTGTGTAAATGAGGCAGAAAGTCAGATCAGCAACCTGGGACTTGGTCACAATTTTTGTGATGCCATATAGCAGCAGGGTCTGCCATTAGACAATACATTATGCTTCCAATATATTCCCAGGTGATAGTACTGTACCTCCCTGTTTGGTAGCTGCCTACTACCTGGTTGATATGATCAGTGCTGGAGGCACAAATGAGGCTGAAAATTCTAAGTGTGTTTTATTAAATCTTTAAATAATGTAGAAAAAGATAAATTTAAAAACAATTATCACCTTAGTAAATGTTCCTTTGCTAACAGAAGCAATTTTCTCCTTAACTTTCTGGTAGCGCTGAAGATACAATGGAGGAGAGAAGACAATGTTGTCATCATATATACACAATGTACCTGATTTCCCATCCACAATCTTCTCCTTCACGTCACTGTTCTGTTTGAACATAATTATGGGTGTTCTGCCTCTCTCTGGAAGGAAGCACAAATATAAAAAACATCAATTGGCAAACAGTGGCAAAATATGTACTGTATAAAGCAAATAAATTTTATTTTCAGAATACAAAACAAAATAACTTTGATTTCTGTGATCTTCAAATTTACAATTTTGACATTCCATTATGATTAACTCCCACATGGTTCCATATAATAAACCTAGATACCTCCCTCTGGTTACCATGAATTTAATTTTTTTTTTTTTATTTATTTTTTTTTTTGCTGGAAAAGCTAAATAATGATGTCTAAAATCATGTGAAATGGTTAGAAAGTGGCAACTCAAGTCTCATGTTGGCTGAATCATAGGAATTGTTGTGTAGTATCTGCATTTCCATGGGAACCAGCCCTGGTGCTCTAAATTCAATGTTGCCACAATCTCTGCATGACCTGGGAAACATATCACTCGGAATTTATTTAATACCACTTTATTTTGTTATTTCCACTTTTTTATACAATCGGTTACTTGTGCAATTAACCAGGCCGTTCACATATATTTATTATTTGGGTTTAAGTAACGAAACCCAAACTGTAGTTCCTTGTTTTATTATAAAAGGATTGTATATATAATTCCTGAGTGTAGATCGACCGTAAGTTCCACTGTATAGGAGTGAATGAGAAAGGGACGGCGTTTATGTATTATAAACGTTAGGTCACGTCCTTACGATATAACTTTCTGTGAGCGACTACTGGAGTAAGGGCCTCGCTGTGCGGGCTTACAGATATGCTGACGATGGGTCTTTACCCTCCTGGGAGAGTTGCCCTCTCACGTGTACAACTCATGTCTTACTCATAGACAGTGGAAAGTTACAGGGTGGTGAATCTGAATATAATATCAGATGTATTGACCCATTTATATAATATGTTCTGTTGATGAGACAGGGGCCCATTACAGGTATGTGAATAAAAAACTGAATGAAAAAATACAAAATTATTTTATTTATTTACATATGGCAAATGTAAATGGAATGTGTACATCAAGGACGCCTCATGCTGCACAGGAAACATGCCGTCGTGAGCTTCACAAATCACTTACATAAAAAAACATAAATTTACATAATTCTAAACTTATTTTACTATTTATTGTACTCAAATATGTAGGGGTGTACGTGAGTGATGTGTGGGTGATGGTGGTGTGTGTAGCACAGTGTGGGTAATGTGGGCTGAGAGTAGGGGAGTCAAACCTTTTGGGGGGGATAAGAGGGGAGAGTCATGTGGTCAGTTTTCTTCCCTCCCCCTTCCTCACTCAAGCATGGTTAATTGTGATTAGTAAAAGTTAATATATTCTCTACGAGACGTTTCCAATAAGATATCCTTGAACAAAATAAATTGAAATGATATACAGTATAGTCTCGGTTTACGCGGTCAATTAAACCCATGGAGGTCTGCGTAAAATGAGAAACGCGTAAACGAAATAACAGAACATATGGGATTAACTGAAATAGAGACTGGGCCGACCCCCAGACTACCCTTTTTTCGACACAACACGTACATTGTAGTAAAAATAACATCTTAATTTTATGATGGTATGCACACAATTAATATTTAAGAGAAATATCAATAATATTAGGTTTTTTATCACGTACGTTAGTAGAAGAGATGGCTGGGCACACGGGGATGGGGGGGTTGGTTCCAATGCAGAGGGCAGATTATTGGCCCTCACCTGTATCACTTATATCACCTGTATCACTATCCACCACAGAGGCTTGCAGGGCCTCTTTGTTAAACCCCTCAAAGTCCATATCCTCACTATCACTATCACTGACTTGGGCTGGCTGTGGTGGGTGGCGGGTGAAGAACTCGGTAATGTTTTGTTGACTGGGCGACCTAGTGCGCACCCTGCCTGCGCCGCTTCCCGCGTAAATGATGGAATGTACCGCGTAACTAATAACTGCCGGTCTCGCCAGGTGCCGTGTAAATGACCAACCGCGTAAAGGAAATCCGCGTAAATCGAGACTACACTGTAATGATGGAAATTCCATTCTTGTATATAAAAAATGTAAGAAATGTTGATACCTGAGTCAATAAAATCAGTTCTAATTTCGTTAAGACACCATTTTTTTTATCAAAATAATCCTGAATTCTTTATCTAAAAGTTTTGTAAAATAAATATACAGTACTGTATTTAAAAAACAAAAGCTCTATATGACACGGGAGTGAATAGAGCTGTGTTACAGCAAAGACAGTGTGGAATTTTTTCCAAGTGTAAACGATGCAGCTCGTAGGAGCTGTAGCTCTTTACACAAACCACACTGTACCTATACAGCTCCTCCCTGACTTACGACAGGGTCAAGGACCCAAATCCAGGTCGTACGTCGAACATGCTTAAATAATACATCGAAAATCTAAAATGGGTGTCTCTTTCTTCTCAACACCACAAAACTCTCACTTTTAAGCTTGCCAGCCATTTTAAAGTGAATTACAAACGAAAATTTTCTCTGTGTACTGACGTTGAGACTCGAAAATAGGTAATTTGACAAAATTTTAGTATGACTGAGGCAGGTCTTAAGTGCAAGTGGTCATAAGTCGAGTAGGTCGTAAGTCGGGGAGGAGTTGTACATACAATATTGTTCATACTGCAAACATAATAATGTACACTACTGTATATATTGTACTCGCCAGCAGATCCTGTCATCTTAAGCCTAGAGTAGGCAAACTGTACATAACTGTAATCACATCTTAACACTTGTGATGGAGGTTGGGTGGGAGATTATTGGGTCATGTTACTAACCTGACCTGATGCAATGTCAGGTCACCCATTGTTGGGTAGGGGATTAGTGGGTCTCATGACCTGAAGATGTTTTGAATGACATTATTTTTTACCTATGAGGTATATACATAGTACTGTACTGTATTGTATATGAAGAATACTGGTGTTAATAAGCATAGATTACAGTATTACAGTAATGTATCTTTATTAATTAATGAGAAACAAATAAACAATATTGTATCATGAAGTCGGCAGCATTTGCTGACATAATCAGTGAGAGGTGACCTTTGCGGGGGATGGGGGTGTTAAAGAGATGAATTTGATACCACAATGGTCCTGAACTATGAGATGTTTCCATCAAACGGCAAATATGCCGCTTGGCGCGTGGGGTTTGTTTACATCTGTTCAGTCTGTGTCCTGCTGCCACTGTGTGTGTTGTTCACTGTGCTACCTCTCGGTCACCTAACTACAGTACGCCCGGAAAATTCGCGGATTTGGATACACCCTGGATGTACCCAAGAATGTCTGCGGGTAGTTTTAAAGTTGCCAGCATTTTCGCAGCTGGTACGGCGAGCGCGCGAGTTTTGTGGCGTCCCGCAAGGTGTCTCTCTTGTCCCGGGAGGCCGGTCCACGCACGCACTCCCGCTCGCTCCGCCTCAGTCCAGGCTAAACACTTGTCCGTCTTGCGTGTGTGCTAGTCTCCGCTCGTATCACCTGTGCTACTCATGCTTGTTATGGCTCCCAAACGCCCTCAACCACCTTCATACAGCTGCGGTAAGGCGCTCAAACAAGTGAAGAGAGAAAAGAAGGTCCTGACTGTAGTGGGCAAGATACAACTGCTGGACAAACTTAGGGGTGGCCAAAACTTTGCCGCGTGGCATTATGAACCATCTGTCCGTTACATTAAGAAAGAGAAAAAAAATTGTAATGCCGTTGCCCTAAGTACCCCCTCTACTGCTGATTGAGGACTTTAACCACCACCACATCCCTCTCAGCCATAAGTTTATCCGTGAGAAAATCAAGGTACTTTATGACCGATTCCATGCTGAGGAAGGTGGTGCAGGTGAAATGAAACGAAATGGCTTAAGTTTGCGAACAAGAACAAAGTTAGTAAGCCTAAAAAGTTTTTTTTCCTAGAATTACATTTCCAAAATCAGTTGCGTCTTCCATGATGCAGCATCTTCTACGCCACAAAATACGGTACCTGCAGGAGAAAGGCCTGGAGTTTAAGGTCCTTCTCATGATCGACAACTGTTCTGGCCACCCCAAGGCCCTCAAGGTTGCAAACAAAAATCTTGAGGTGATCTTTCTGCCCCAAAACATAACATCATTGCTCCAACCACTCGACCAGGGAGTCATTGCTGTTTTCAAGGTCAAGTACATGACCCACACCTTCAGCAGGATAAGGGCAAGCCTTGGACGAGGACAAATTGGATGGTGCCGCGTCAGTGTGGGAAATGTGGAAGAAGTTCTCCATTGCAGACTGCATCTCCTTCATCCAGCAGTGCCATGATGACCTGACAGTTCTCTGTGTTAACTCCTGCTGGAGGGCCTTGTGGCCAGAAGTAGTGAACGACTTTGCTGGCTTCCCCGCAGTCGACGAGGATGTGCAGCACATCGTCCGGCCTGCCCATCAACTGGGAGTTGAGGGGTTCGACGACCTTCAGGAGGAAGGGGTATAAGACGAGCTCCTGGGTTATGCTGGGGAAGAGCTGACTGAGGAAGAGCTGGCTGAGCTTGTTGAGGAGCAGCATCATGAGGATGACGAGGAGGAAGAAGGTGAAGTGGAGGAGGTGCCCACCTTAACTGTCATGAACCTCAATACGTGAGTCACTGTCTTGTAGTGCAGCCATGGACTATTTTTTCGACATCGATCCATCTATCAAGCGAAATCAGTTAACTTCAAGAGAGGGATGGAGCAGCTCCTGGCTCCTTATAAGGAAATACTAAAGGAACTCAAGCACCAGGTTGTCCAGCCTCCAATCTCCATGTTCTTCTTGCCTTCGTCTTCTCCAAGCCCTACACCTTCTACACCTACAAGAGCGCCTCAACCTCTTGTTCGTGCACGTCCTCCTCCTGACTCTGATTCCGACATGGACGACCCTCCTCCAGGAGCTCCCAGCTCAGACCTCCCTCCACACTCTCTTCTGCCTCCTCTTCCAAAGAAGATGAGGAGAACTTTAACTCCCCTGCCTTCATCTTCATTCATCATGATATTCATCAGTGGCAGGGGAGAGGAAAACAAGATCTACACAAAAAGCCAGCATGGAATGGTGAGTGTTAATCTATTTCTTTATAAAAGTTGTCATTTTTGGTTTGTGGGAATATTAATTCATTTACTATAGTAATGATACAATGCTTTTTATTCTGTTATTGTAGGAAAATGAATGGTTTATATAATTTGCTTATCACTGAGCCCGTAACATTTTCATAGTAGACTACAAAATATGTTTTTTTTTCCATACGTACGCCTGGCATCTCCCATACGTACCGTACACCTGATTGACCGAAAGGATAATAATTAAAAAAAAAAAAAGTAGTGGATATTTTGCCATGGCCGGCTAAATTCCTACTAATGCTATTTTACCGCAAGTGCTCTCTGATTGGCTAAGTACTTTCTGTTTAATATGACGGGGGTTTGCCCATCCCCCCCCCTCCAAGCTAGGAAGCTAGGTAAGGTTAGGTAGGATTCTTTGGTTGGTTAGGTCAGGTTCTATTAAGTTCTATTAAACATCACCTCTTTTATAATGATAAGAACATCTGTGGAAAAAATGAGCCAAATCGAACAACTCCTTCTGGTTAGGTATGTTTATAGCTACACAACAATTGCCTCCCAGTGAAATAAATGCCAAGTGCCACCATAGTCACAGTCAAATATAGTTCTCACATTGTTCACCAGTAATGGACGATTAGCCAATTAGAGGGCACTCACGGTAAAATAGCATTAGTAGGAACTTAGCTGGTCACAGCAAAATATCCACTGCAAAAAAAAAAATAAAAAAATTTGCACAAACTCAGTTGATCGAAAATGTCCAAAGGATGGCAACCAGACTGGTGCCAGCACTTCGGCACCTCAGTTACCCAGAGATTAGAGTGCCTGCAATTGCCTAGCTAATAGTACAGAAAGGCAAGGGAGGTCCTAATTGAGGTGTATAAACATCTCAAAAGGCCCTACTCAGTCGTGTGTTCTTACCTAGAGTTGGCGAACGCTCGCCCCACAAGAGATCACAGCTCAAGGTTGAAGAAGCCGCAAGTCCAGAAACTGTGAGGGCGAACTTTTTCAGAGTGAGAGTTGTGAACTTGTGGAACAACCTGCCAGAGTGTTGTGACAGCACTGAGTGTGAGCTGTTTCAAGACCAGACTTGACCAGCACTGGAGCAGGTTCAGATACATTCAGGAGCCAGTGCATTGCCCAGTACTTGCCAACAGTGCGTAACAAAGATGTGACTGATTGCCCAAGAGGCAAACAAGCCGATCAGTGGTGAAGAGGATAAAAATACAACAGTGGTCTCTATAAAACGGTTTTATGTTAAGGTTAGGTTAAGGTTCGAGGTTAATATTTAGTAGTTGTCACCACCTAACTGAATATTGAGTCATATATGGGAAGATAGAAAAAAAAAATAGAATAATTTATTCTACAATGTTTCCATCGGAAATTTATAGTTTTTGAGTTATTTTAACTTCAATTTTTTAATACTTGGCCAATCAGTGTGTGTTGATGGGATGCCATAGTTGTCCGCGCCGATTAGCGTGAAGAGACGGACACTGACGAAGACACCACTTCCTCATTCAAGTCCCATCACTCTATCCTCTGTATCTCTTACTTAAGGTAGTTTCTTACACTAGGGGTTAGGTTAGATTAGGTAAGTTTTTTTTTTAGGTCTTTAAATTGTTCGACCTTCCACTTTTGTTCAATACCTCAACTACTGCTCATTTCCGATGGCAATAAAGGTAATATTTGTATTTAACACAAAGATTTACACGATAAAAACCCATTTTCAATAGCCAATTAGGTGGTGGCAACTACTAAATATTTTCTAAGTTAGGTTAGGTTAAGTTGGGTTGGGTTGGGTTAAGTTAAGTTAGGTTAGGTTAGTTTGGGCTAGGTGAGGTTGGGTTATAAAAAAAAAAAAAAAAATTACACAAACTACGACAGCATCCTCTATAAAACAGTCAAATTGTGGCATTTTATAATCGCTAACTATGCTAAATCCTCGGCGAGTCAGTCATCAATAATTACCCTAATATGAAGAGTAAATTGCTTCAAAATGGCCTCAAAATGCCCATGATATCGGTCAGATTTCAAAATATTTTTTCGGGGGGTACTGTGCCCCCTCTTCCCAACTGGTTGGTCTCACTATGCTTGCCAATCCCCCTTCCCCTCCTTTTGATATTCCTGGATGTGTCCCTGCACTTGCACATGTTCAGATACCCTCGGTCAATTTATACTATAGTAGTGCACCGTTCTTTTGGTCTTTTTATAATAGCGCACTGTTCTATCTCTCGGTGTTATAAATATGTTTTTCCGAATGTTGAGACAATTCTAAGACCTTTTTCTTCTATGATATTTCGGTTAATATACAGTATAGGACTAACCCACCAGGGGCTGCATAGCACCAATGCGACCGTTTCATCTCATATCCAGAAAATTCCTCAAATTTCACCATATCATAGTAAGTTCTTTCTGTTTAATATACCGGGGAGGTTAGGTAAGGATAGGTAGGTTCGTGGGTATGAAGAACAGCTGTTCTTCATACCCACGAATGTTAAGTAGCGTTTATTTTAAAAATATCAGTTTTTAACATATGTCCACAAATTACAAGAGTGTCCACTACGTATAATATAACAATGAAAATCCGGCGTTTTTATAATTGTTTTCAATCAATTTCGCCCGCGGGTTAGTCCTATATAATTACCAATATTTCTAATACCGAAAGAAATATAACCTAACTTAACCTACACTTGTTTCTGTGTAAAAAACAAACAAAAACATAGCAAATCACCAAAAACCAACCAAACCAAACCTAATCCAACCTAACCTAACCTTAATTTCCGACAAAAAATCACAAGAAAAATGGGATATTGTTTTGATGATTTTAAGTATATTAAAAGAAAAGATAATTTTCTACTATGATTTTAAGTATATATTTTTCATTAGTTTATTTACTCTAATTCCGCTTCACAATTCTCCTCCAGGCGTCACTGTGTTTACCTCGCTCAATCCCTCAAGAGACTTTTACTCTTACTTTTATCCTCTTGACCAAAAGATCGGCTCGTTAGCGATCGGTTACGTCTCTTGTACTGGCCGAGAGAGAGAAGGTGTGCACTCATACAAGACCATACCTGCCTAACAGATAGCAAGGCCAAACAAATTAGGTGAAAGTAATAATGCCATTATTAGCGGCTAATGATCATTGTCACTGCCAAGTAACATCCAAAATCAAGTATAATTACTTTAAATTGTCTATCATAAACTTACCATCAAGTGACAGCAGCGTTGTAGTACGTAAATTCTCAGTTGAACTTTGTTATCAGTGAGTAGTAGTGTTCCTAACTCGTGTTGGGAGAGGTACGAGCTTAAAGTCTGTCGTGCTATTGTTCTTGTGAGTCCTTAATATAATTAAAATTATTGTTTTACCCATATTTAAAAAAAATAAACATTACTAATTATTACAGTTGTGGATTTCGTAAGTCTTTTGTGAATCCCCACCGCGGGAGTGTATGAACTTTTAATGACTTACGGTGTTCGTAGCCCCTTGTTAGCCATTGGTCCCGGCTGACAAAAGGTGCCCCGCCCCCTCCTCAACACTTACACCTGATTGGCTGTTCCAAACCTGTCCGATTTTGTCCTGAGTAATGATGTATTTCTGAAGGAGTTTATTCATAATGACCGTTTATGACGAGAAAGACATTTAGCTAAATTATATAAAGATACATACATTCATTATTTCAAACATAAGCAAGTAGGAAGTTTATGAGAAGTATTATACATGAAGTAACTGTTAAACTCTTGTAGCATATTCATGCTTTCGGAAGATGTGTTTATAATAAACCTACATGTGTGAGCTGAGTCCTGGGCCACTGTCACAAGGTGAGTAAGGCAAGTAAATTATTGGGTCTTATAAGGTCTTTCAGATATGTCACTCGTGACGATCTTCAGGAGTGAAGTGCTTCCCCATCTGGAGTGCTGTCACCCCGTCTGGTCCCCGAGATATGCTAGGGACTGTCAGTTGGTTGAAAATGTTCAGAGGAGGGCCACCAGACTGGTGCCTGCACTTCGGCACCTCAGCTACCCTGAGAGATTGGAGCGCCTGAACTTGCCTAGCTTATACTACAGACGGGTAAGGGGTGAACTAATTGAGATGTATAAGCATCTCAGGGGGCACTACTCAGTCAAGTGTTCTTACTTGGAACTGGCGGACGCTCGCCCCACAAGGGGTCACAGCTCAAGATCGAAGAAGCCACAAGTTCAGAAAACTGTGAGGGCAAACTTTTTCGGAGTGAGAGTTGTGAACTCTTGGAACAATCTACCAGAAAGTGTTGTGACGGCACTGAGTGTGAGCTCTTTCAAGACAAGACTTGACCAACACTGGAGCGGGTTCAGGTACATTCAGGAGCCGGTGCATGCCCGGTACTTGCCAACAGTGCGTGACAGAGACGTGACCGATCGCCCGGGCGGCTAACTTCTTTTACTTTTATCCTCTTCACCACTGATCGGCTCGTTAGCCGCTTGGGCGATCGTTCACGTCTCTGATTACTTTTCCTTTTCTTTTATCCTCTTTACCAAAAGATCGGCTAACGAGCCGATCAGTGGTGAAGAGGATAAAAGTAAAAGATGTCATATGGCAATGATTTTGTGGTTGTAGGCTTCTTGACCTGGGCTGTGTCTCAACTCGGTGGAGATTGAGTTTTCAAAAATACAATCGCGTCTAGCATTAAAAAATCCTACATCGATTTACACTTTCACATCACTAAGACGATCTTGATGATCTTATGTAGTCACTGTCCAATTTCTGCCGCTCAACAATGAAGGCCCGAATGCCGAACAATCTTTGTTACAGAGACACAACACAACCCGACCCGCCCGCCCAACCTTTAGCTTTGACTTGCTTGAAATTAGAGTACAGTTATAGTAATTCCAAAGTAACGAACATCACATTTTTTCCATTTTTCCCAATACTGTACAAAGTTTATTATCTGGAGAAAGTCCAATTTAATGTACATTATAAATAGGCATCCTATTGCCATACTAATATGACCCTGTAATGTTCTCTCTGGGGCTTTGCTATCCCACAAAGACCCGTGAGGTTCGTTACACGGGGGTAGAAATTCACCATTTTTTCATAGTTGCCAGCAGGACTAGTAGATTTGAAAATTTACTAATCCTTATGAATTTTTACTAACCCTTAAACAATTTGTCAAGAAACGTTAAACATTGGCACTTACCAGGTTTATACAAAGATCTATTTACTGTGTGACATTTATTTACTAGTAGAAATCATGTTAAATCATAAACCAACACTGGAATAACTAAATTAATTGCATGGAACACAGATTTACTGTGTGATGTTTATTTAGTAGTAGAAATCATAAACCAACACTAGAATAATCACATATTAGCTAAATTAATTGCATGGAGCACATTCCATTGTGATGAAGCTATTTGGAACGTACCAATATATCAAAATTATTTCCTCATCCAAATGTAAACCATATTTATCCACTTAATTTGAATAAAAGATAATAAAATTTCTCATTGTATAACTAACAAGTGAACTTGCTGTGTTTAGGTTTGTGAACTGCACTTTAAATCCTCTGATTATTATCAACGGTCATCAAGTTATTTCGATGAACACACTGGGCGAACTATTAACATACAAATATGATCAATTTCGACTGAAAACTGGTGTAGTTCTACCAGTGCTTCCCAACTGTGGGTTATCATTCATTGTTTTTAGAAGGTGATACTGTAGCGTACTGTATGTGGCCAGTTGTCAAGTTCTCTTTGTTTGTCTGTTTCTCTTTGTATGGGCTCACATACGTACGTACATGTAAGATATCTCACACTCAGGATGGAGGTAAGAATAGAAACTCACAATGCATTTTCTGTATAGTATATATTGTATGTACATTGCAGTGCTGAGGAGTTGCTGTGTGGTGAGAAGCTTGCTCAGAGGTACTGTTGGGTGAGGAGCTTGCTGAGGGAGCTGGTTGGTGAAGAGCTTGTTGGGAGGTCTTGCTGGTTCTGGAGAGTAGAGTAGAATGAGCTCCGCAGCCAGGCCTACTCGTATTTTTACGGTTGCCTAGGATCAGAGAAGAGAGGTGTGAAATGTGCGGCGCCAATCACCGTGCAGTTCGCGAGAGAGGCCTGGTGTGCTGAACTCATCGCTGCTTGGCTGGTAAGCGGACGGTCAGAAATCAGTCAGTGGTAGTACTCCTGCGTCCGCGCCTGAGACCTAGTCTGTGGATGTCGCTGGGTAAGCTGATTAGCTGGTAAGCGAACGGCAGGTGATCAGTTGGCAGTTGTAGGGGAGAGTATCCACTACAATCCTACAATTTCTTGGCCTGATATTTGCCCCAAAATGATCTCTGAAATAGATGAAGTCTGGGCTAATACTGTATATTGAAAGACTTAACATTCATTCCCTCAGATAGGAATGCTCACAAGTTATTTTTTTTTGAAGTTCCAATTTAATGACAAAAAGAGTTCCTTATATGAACTTTCCCAGTATTTGTCAGCTCCAAAATATGCTGACGTAAGTTATGAAATAAATTTGAAACCAGTTGCTTGAAAAGTTCAAATTTAGGAAGTTGGCAGCGGATATTTTGTCTGCAATCATGATGTGTCAGTTATTGACTAAGTTTGTTCTGGACTATGAGGACAGTTCAGATGTTTTGCTGCTGCTATACAAGGGATTCCATATTCCCTGTACAACTCATTTTTGGAAATGTTGTTGAAAGCCCTAAAACTAAAAGCCCACCTAAGGAAACAAGCCACTGATAATGCTTCAAGTGGTAGTGCTTATTTATTGCTACGTTCTTCCCCTCTTTCTCCTGCTTTGTTTGATGAACAAACATTAGTTAAGTATAGATCAGCTGTTGAGCAAGCTATTCATATTACTGTTCCCAGGAGTCCTACGACCTTAAGGAAATTTAAAAGAAGAAGGTCTAACAGGGGAACAGGACCAGCTGCTAGGTTCACTTATCAACCTAGAGGAAACTTTAGAGGAGGAAACAATTCAAGACGTAGTAGGGGTGGCCGTTTGTTCAGAAATGGAAGACCTTATTCAACCACATCAGCGACCAATCCCTTCCAATGAAGCCAGACAGCTGGGTCGTCTAGGGGGTTGGGAAAACAGGTGGAATTCTTCCATATGAGCGCACAAACAATCAAAGGGGGCCTCACGTGGACTTGGTTGAGGCGCCCTTCCCAAGTGTTACCAAAAAGGGGTCAGAACCAACCCCCTTACTCACAGAATTTGTAATTCAACTGTTAAACAGAGGTGTGATAGAACTGTTGCAGTCAGAGAGGTGTTTCATATCTCGCATGTTCCCAGTCCCCAAGAAAGGCAGCGACAAATTGAGGTGGATTTTAGATCTTTCCTTCCTGAACAAGTTCATTACAAAAAAAAAACAAGTTTCAAGATGCTCACCTCCAATGCATCTACTTCCGCCCATTGCTTGGATCTCAAAAGTGGATCTCGAAGATGCCTATTATCACGTGCCTGTTGCTCCCAGGTACAGAAAGTTTCCACATGCCAACTGGCCTATTGCAGACTCCTTATGTTCTTATGTTCTAATTCACAGTGATGCCATTCGGCCTAACAATTGCGTCAAAAGTGTTTACAAAACTGTCGACCAAACCCACGGAGATCCTTGCAAAGGAGGGCATAAGAAAGTTGGATTGGTTAGGTCTCCATTGAGACACCAATCAGCAGTCAGTCAGTCTACCGAAGCAAAGGTAAGAGATGTGATAAACCAAGTACCTGCAGAAGCCTTTTGTGTAAAGCAAGAGGTTTCTTGGCACGATTGGGAAAAACTACTGGGTCTGTTGAATTTTGCCACCATAGTAGTTCCTTTTGGCATGTTAAGGAAGAAGCAACTAACTCATCTGGGGTCGAAGTTGCTTCACAAACAAAAATATTGCTTCTCTCCCTATTCAGATTAGATTCATGTGTCATGGTGGACAAGGTTGAACAATCTAATCGGTTCATTTCCCTGGGTTCCCCCTCAAACAGACTTGGTCGTTTGTATGGACGCGTTCGAATTAGGAAAGTTCCATCAAGAGAAGTGTAGCAACTCCCTTTGGGACAAACACATTAACATAAAAGAATTAGCAGTAGTCCTATTCTTTTTGTTGGCAAACCCAAATTTAAAAAACATGACTTTTCTGTTTGCCATGGACAACAGAATGGCAGTGTTTTGTCTCAATCATCAAAGCTCAACCAGATCTTGGCCCCTTCCCACACTGTCAAAAAAAAAATAATTCAAAGTTAGTTTAACTCAAACACTTTACCTCAAAGCAACTTTCATACCGGGAGTACAAAACAATTGCACAGATGCGTTGTCCCGTCTCAGGCCAGTATCGATGGAAACAGAATGGTCCCTAAAGATATTGAAGTTCAAGAGTCTAGTGAGGAGGTTTGGGGCTCCACAAATAGACATCTTTGCCTCACAAAACAATCACAAGATGCCCAATTATGCATCTCTGGAACGATCAAATCTTTTAGGGAATGCTCTACTCATAGATTGGAACAGTTGGAATTCAATCTATCTGTTCCCACCTGTGAAAAAGGTTCCCAAAGTGGTTCAAAAACTCAGATCCTTCCAGGGAAAGGTCCTCTTAATTACACCTTATTGGATCTTACAACCGTGGTGTCTGGATCTGTTGGAATGGTGCCCGCATCCACTGAAATTGCAACAAGGATGTCCAGACGAGGTACTGCACCCTCAGTTCGAGATATCCTTGGCACTTCACTCTTCGAGTTTCTCAAAACTTGTTTAAATAGAGTGTTGGGTAATTCCAATACAGTATAGTTAACCAAGTGATAGCAGGTCATAGACCTCCAAACTTCCAAACTTTTATGCAATGTGAGAAAGCTTGGAAACTTTTTCAACAATTTATCAGGTTAACGATTCCAATCACATTGTCGGAAACAGTGGTGTTAGAATTTTTAGATTTTCTGCTCAGAGTTAAAGGCCTTCAAGGATCTACAATTGCATCTTATAAATCAGTGCAGTGGTCACTCTGTTAACAAACACAATTCGTTCCAGAAGGTCGTTTGTTAACCGAAACCATTGTTTCAATGGGATTTTGGGTAATTGGTTCCAGCTCACTGAAAATTACATACAAACTAAAAAATAAATGCAGTAAAGTACACTTACTTTGAGGTGTGCATGTAGAAGGCTCCTGATTGATGATGATGATGATGGGAATTAGAAGTGGGGGTGGAGGAGAAGGGAGAAGAGAAGTCACCCCATGCTTCATGCCGCCATTTCACCCATAAAATTTTAAGTTCACTTGGTGTTATTCAAGATTATTTTCTTTAAATCAACACTACACTGCACTTTATATTGTCAATATGTAAAATAAATTTCAGAATTACCAATAATAATTACTGTAAAAACATAAAAATAGTTTATGTTCAAGAGTCTCAAGCAAGATGCTTCCTCCACTGAGCAGACACAAACTGACGCCATTCTGGGTGAGTCAAGTGGCTGTTTGGTGTGCTAAAAACTAGTTCCCTGTACTTCAATTATGTTGAATAATTGTTAAAATGACTAAAAATTTTAATACAGTATTACCCCCGCTTAACGCGCTTTCACTTAACGCGTTTTCGCATATACGCGGTGCCTTGCCAAAGCTGAACTTTCACTTAACGCGGCATTTTTCATCATATACGCGGTGAGTGTCCGGCTCGAGAGCTATTTTTAGATTCGCACCACCCCCCACCCGCCACCCTGCCTGTTTTAGCTCATAAAATTCATACAAATTACCCAGCCAGAATATAATTTACATTGCTGGAATTCTTATAATTTGGTGATCATTTTGAATATAAACAACATATATTTTGCATTAAACATACAATTTTTAGATAAAAATTGTTCTCTAGGTAATTATGTTATCTTTTGTCCAAAATATATGACATTTATATTCAAAATATTCCTGGTCTTACAAGGAATCCAGCAATGTCAATTATATTATCCTAACTTTAGTTTGAGGTATTATTTATTAAAATTTAGTGGTTATCCCACACATCTCCTTGGGGTGGGGGGTGTGGGGGAGGGAGGGACCGACCGACCGACCATCTGTTACCCTGTGAAGAATTATTTTTTTTTTTATTAACTGAAGATATTTGTTTTAGCTCATAAAATTCATACAAATTACCCGGTCAGAATATAATTTACATTGCTGGAATTCTTATAATTTGGTGATCATTTTGAATATAAACAACATATATTTTGCATTAAACATACAATTTTTAGATAAAAATTGTTCTCTAGGTAATTATGTTATCTTTTGTCCAAAATATATGACATTTATATTCAAAATATTCCTGGTCTTACAAGGAATCCAGCAATGTCAATTATATTATCCTAACTTTAATCTGAGGTATTATTTAATACTAAATGTTAAAAACTCTTGAATGGAGGATTGGTGGGGGGTGGGGGGAGGGTTGGGACTGACCACGCGGTTGGAAGAGGGGGGGAAGGCAAGGTGGGGTACTTTGATTGACAGATAGTGTCGAAGAATATTTTTTTTTTTTTATTAACTGAAGATATTTGTTTTAGCTCATAAAATTCATACAAATTATCCGGCCAGAATATAATTTACATTGCTGGAATTCTTACAATTTGCTGATCATTTTGAATATAAACATCATAGATTTTGCATTAGACATACAAATTTTAGATGTAAAGTTTATTCTGAGTAAATATGTTATCTTTTGTGAAAAATATATGACATTTATATTCAAAATATTCCTGGTCTTACAAGGAATCCAGCAATGTCAATTATATTATCCTAACTTTAGTTTGAGGAATTATTTATTACTATACCTGGTTTTCCCCAAAAATTTCTCAGAGGGAAGAGCCAGTGAGTGTAGTGTGAGAAGAGGGGGAGGGAGTTGAGTCCATTATTTGAATGGACATTAACTTGGCGACTGTATTTCTCTATTTCTCTTAAGTATTAATTGTGTGCATGTACCATCATAAAATTAAGATGTTATTTTTACTACAACATAGTTATTTGTCGTCAAAAAGTGGAGTTTGGGGGTCGGGCTGGGTTCTATTGGAATTAATCCCATATGTTCTGTTATTCACTTAACGCGGTTTTCACTTAACACGGGACCCTCTGGGTTCAATTGACCACGTTAAGTGGGGTACAACTGTATAAGAATTGGAAAATTATTGAATAGTACAACCGTCTTGATATTTACTCAAATGGTAACGAATTTAAGCCCTAAAACCGATTATACTGTATTGGCGGACTAATACTACAGCTGGTGAGCAGACAAAAACATGTTGGGAAAAATTCATAAGGAATTCGTTAACCGAATTGAATATTCTTATGGAAGGTAATTCGTTAA